CAAATCAGACATGGGACTGATATTTATGGGTGTGTGAAATTTTGAGCAGATCCAAATCTATTTAATTTAAATGTGGTTTAATAGGGGGCTGTTGGTGGAGGCATTTACTCTGCTAAGTTAAAACTGTGTGCAGTCACTTAACAGTACACAAATAACTTTTTTCACATTTCCAGAGCTGCTCATTGTAGCCTGATGAAGCGCTGAGTGAAATGGTCGCAGTTGATGTAAATGTATCGTTAATGTATTTTGTAGGGGTCCGCACCTATAACTCAGCTATTCTTAATTCCTCCTCATTAAGAAAATTAACTGAAAAATTCAAATCAGCAGGCCAATAAATAATAATAAATAATAATAAATAATTACTGGCTGCAGCTTCAGTTCTGAGCTTACTTCAAGGACGTTTGCCTCTTAGCCGATGAGGAACTGAGACGTAACCTCTGTGTTATGACTCATGAGTATGTATAACCACTGGGTCAGCACAGATAACTGAATTTATCAGCTACCTTCAACGTGAAGGTCATGCTGAATGTGAAGGAGGTGAACACAGGCTGTCGGTCTTTATCAAGGTGTTGCTGAGCCAACACCTTTTTTCGACATCACTCTGCTGCTAAGTCTCAATCAGCTTCTCCTCCTCACACACGGCAGCTGCAGGGCCATGACAAGCAGCCCTGCTGGAAGTACTGAGGAGGAAAGCTTTGTTCAAGGCGGAATGTGAAACTGCTTAGTGACCACACTAAATGAATCAACATGTTTATGTATTGTTTCAGGCAGTTGGAATTACACTCTATTCAGATTTTACCAGATAGTATGTGGGATCAGAACCAGTGTTTTTCCAATAAATCTTCTTTATTTTTTACTTGTTTTGCAATAAATGCATTGATGCAAAGATTCAAGGGAAATCAAAGTTGTGTTCCTAAGAACATGCACCACACAAGCATTTTGTGTATAACATGTAGACCGGACCATGAAAGCTTCATATAAATGGAATGAGGTTTGTGACATGAGGCATCATTTGTATTGCCAGCAGATGGCGCTATAGCTGAATAATGGCATGTAGATGACTTCGGACTCTAATTCTAAAATCTACATCTGCCATGCTGCTAATGCAACTCCGTTTCACAAAAACTCACAATTTTCGCAATACAGCGTCATCAAGTTTTTGAGACATTTCTGACCAACTAAGAGGTAGATATTTAGCTAACTAGCATTTCACAGCAGCATTTGGATGTGGTCATGTTAGCTTTTAATGTAACACTAGCACTGCACAGTTAATCGTAAGAAAATCATGATCTTGGTTCAAACCCATATGTGACCTCATTTCTAAATGACAGTGATTCTACAGCATATTATTTCCTGATACCCACAAGATTTACAAGTACTGTTTGACATACAGCAGCTCTTATTTGCCTTAGGAACTGTATTGTGCAGTCATCTACCAGAACAAATAAAAGGAGGTCATCATAAAAATCTTTAAAAACACTCACGCCACAGAGGCTGACTTGGCGGCCGCAGAGAGGTCTCGGATCCAGAGGAGGACAGAGGCTGCTGTGGGCTGTAGAGAGACGTCTGGCTCTGAGAGTCAAACAGGCTGGAGAGCGCTGGAGTGGAGACGCCACAAAAGCATTAACATCAGTTCCCAAATGTCACACACCAAAGCTCATTTTACTTGATGGAAGAAAAGCATCGTCTTGGTACTTGGTGTCTGGTGTTTACATCAAGATCAAATCGATATCACAGGAACTTTCAGACTTAAAACAACCTTCCATTTTCAACGGCACCACATGGGAATGAACAACTTATTAGCTCAAGCAGATGTCATATTTCCTATTTGGCAGCAAATACTTTTCAGAAACTCAAACAACATTCAGCAATTTGTATCGTTAATGGTGTTGCTGAGTCACTCATTCATTCAGCAGTCTTTTGTTATGACGAATTTTTGTCAAGTCTTCATTAAATGAATCACATGATCTGTTGGATTTACATGACAGTTAACAGCAGGGGGGGATCCAGGGACGGGGCCAGGGGGACACTGGTCCTTGCTGAAATCTTATTGGCCCTGAAGGGCTCCTGTCCTATTTGTAGCCCATTTTATAAACAGGTCACTTTCAAACAATACTAACAACTAGAAAATTCCTCCCGGAGAAATTTTGAATGGGTGCCTTGTGCTTGCTGCCAGCTCCACAGAGAGACATTTCGTTTAAGAGGAAGGAGAGAGACCCTGAGAGAGAGTGAGACAGTGAGAGACAAAGACATGTATAAAAGCTGCATTTTGAAAACATGATCCAGGTTGGTGTTAGAGAGACTGTGCCAATTTCAGGGAAAGAGAGAAACCATGTTGTAAGGTTGTTTCAAGGTCCTTCATGCTTCCTTTAAGGTCAGTAAACTATCTGTAGGGTTTTATTTTAAAAATCCAGGCTCCTTTTGGGTTTCATGGTAACATCCTGTTACTATCGGGGGGGCTTATTTTGAAAATCCAGGCTCCTTACAATTTTCCTGATAACATCCTGTTACGATGGGGCGGACTTATTTTGAAAATCCAGGCTCTGTACAGGTTTCCTGATAAATTTCAAAAAGCGAAGCAAACACATAATTGGTCCCTAAATTCACCACTGGTTAAGAGCATCCCAAAATCTGTCCTACAAAAATCTTGGATGCCATGTGTACTTGTTCAGGATCAGTGCCCGTCTGAATAGACCTGAAATGATTCACATACACCAAGTATTGATGAAAACACCCACAAACATCTCATGTCAAGTCAGCACTTTAAATGTCATAGGCTTGGTTACTAAGACCCTAATGTGCTGAGTATAGAACCAAAACAAACTAAATCAGTCTCTGTCTAAATACACAGAAGGTTCCTCTTTACTTTGCACCAGAAAAACAAAGTCCTAATACAAATTCAAATCTAAGTATTAAAAAACTCATTTTAATACATTTTCAAATAGTGATGTTTTTTTTGACATGGACAGCTAGGCTATTTAAATCATTTGGGTCAATTTGATTAAAATGTACTTGTATTAATGTGCAAGTAAAATACTAGTTCATAAAGTTTATGATTAGTGGAGAGCTGCAAAGAAAAACTAAAATTAAAAGAATGCTGTTGCTGCTTCAGTGTGGACCCACCTCTCATGGTTTTGGCATGGGCCTCGCTGCTGCTCTCACACACCGTGTTGAGAAACTCGTCCACCTGCTTCAACGACAGCGAGTTGTGCAGTGTCTCCAGCGGGTAGATAGAGGGCACCATGGAGCAGCCTTCGAAACCTGCAGCAGCGACAGGACAGACAGAAACATTGTACCGCTTCTCCATCAGACCCTGAACGGAGGAGTGGTGAAATGACAGCTCTCTGTGCATGTTGGGTGTTCGTTCTCTCAGTGCGGCAGCCATTTGTATTTGTTAGCAAGCCACGCAAACTTTTGAGGCTACTGCAACATCTACAGTTAGTACCTTGTTACTTTTTTCAATAGTGGCTGATACAACAGACACAGTGCGTACAACAGACAAATTCAGCTGCTATAATATTTGTCAGCAAACGTACCATCTGGTGATAATTTCCTTTTGTGGTTAGCGACCTCTTTTCAATTAAAAAACATGAAAACCACACAATGCCACCGATAAACACAATGATGAAATTATTCCATAAAAATGAAAAAAAAAAAGGCGCATTGCTTCTCATTCATCCAGCACTGTGTTTCCTCTACATGACTAATGTGCTATGCCTGATGGGAAAATCTAGTGAGCTGCTGGAAGGTTCAGGAGACACAGAGAAAGAAGCATTTTAATCATGCTCAATGCATCCAGGAGAAGAGAGAGATGACAAATACAAGTTAATACTTGTAAAACCTCCCAGGTTTGAAGAACAGGAAATTCTAACCTCACAGGGGCACAGTCGTGTGTTGTATATCAGTCACTGACTGAGAGACTCATTGACCATGAGTGACTGATGCTGTTATGACTATTTATCTCATCAGTAATGCCATTGCTGTTATAGTAACAGTGAACAATTGTTTACAGGACAGAGTGTTAGCTGTGTACAGAAACATGGCCTAATGCTACATAGATCTCAAGAAGGAAAAACTATGGATTTATTTAATGGCTTTTCCCTAAATCAACTTGTGTAATATAATGATACTGGTGGAAAGAACTACAGTCAGCATTTAAAGGGCAAGAACCATCTGAGGACTTAAAGGGACCAATATATGAATTCCCCAGTTGATCATTAGCTGAGTTGCTTAATGTTAATATTTCTCATGGGATCCTTCATGTGAAGTATGTTGAATAAGCCCCATCAAGAAAGTAATAAAAGTCCTTTCGCAGTCAGCAGTTTTTCTGCATTCACTCCACTTTCTACATGTCTGCAATGTAAATTATATTTCTACATGACACTCCTTTGCCAACCTTTGGCGAATTATCATATTACTGCTGCAACAGCAGGTTATACACCTTAGTCTCCCTGGATTTTTGGCCAAAGCATCTTATCTACTAGACTAAGGTTGTTGTTCAACAACAAAAGTTTAGAAAATAAAGGAAAAGAACTGCCTGCTTTGCTTGAAACTGATTTACGGTTTGCTCTGTCTTTGCTGAACTGTATCATTAGACAGGAGATGTATAACAATAACACAGAAGATGACTTGGCATTCATCGCCTTTCCCTGCTCCCCATCTCCACTGCAGCCTCTTGGTGTGGATCTCAAATTCAGCTCACATACGAAATGCAGTGGGAAACAGTACGCTACACTGCACTATCCACTCATCGACAAAGACAGGACGAAAAGGAAAGACAGCACAGTGATACATAAATGAACAAAAGAAATATGGTAATACAAGTCTATGTGAAACCTGAAACAAATCTCAACCTCTTCTTTCTTGGAACCAATAAGAACAGCTGTAATTTATTGCAGTCATCTCTGCTGACTGCAGATTAATCGTGCAGCTCTGTGAAGGTGACACAATGTGCCAAGTCGTGCTCCAGAAACACTTTACGAAATCACTGTTTACACAGGCCACCAGTTAATGAGCTAATTAAAATGAGGGATAAGAAGATGACCCACATCTCTCAGCTGACACTAAAATCCCTGCCACCTGGACAGGAGAGCACTGGGGGAGACACAGCTCAGACCGGAGCTTTGCTGTATCAAGGCCAAATTGTGGCCATCAACACCCGACTCATTAGCTCATTAGTGAACAAGCCCCCAGTTTAAATACCATTTTACCCCTTTTCGACCAAAGTGATCCTGATGCTACTGGTGGTCAGCTGCTGCAGAGTTGGTTCAACTTGTGAACCTCTTAAGACCCAGTTGGCTTTTCCATGGGCTAGAGCCACAACAGAGCCTCATCATTACGTCACTGTATATGTCTCTGCTTTCACAAGATAATCCTGCCACAAAGGATGGACCATTCAAAAAGGCAGTTCAAAACAAATGAAAAGTAAAAAGTGTCCACCCAGCATGCATAGTCATCTACACATTCTCATATTTAGAATTAACATATACATATTAATGACCGACATTTGCCGGAATACTATCTTTTCAGTTTGAAAAACACCACATCAGGTGTCTAATATTGTATGAAGAAGGACGGGGGACCAAATCGACCTGAGAACTTAAAGCCACAGTGAAATAAAACCCAGAATTTGGTCGATCATTAAAAAACTAAATTTGACAAAGTTTAGTGAAAACAGATTTAAAGACATCACTGGAACAGTAAGTTGAGCGCATACACCAACGGTCCACTTAAATTCAGTCAAGCGGCACCAAATTATACCAAAGATATCAGTTGTCTGAATGTGTGTGATTTTTTTCCCTTGGTAAACAGTGAATATGTCGGAAAAAAGCTTGCAATGTTAAAGAAAGTGAACTTTTACTTACTGTATCTGCACTTAAATGTGTTGAGTTCTTCACTGACCCATGCCACATCTTAACAAAATCCTTTATCAGTTGCTTTTGTGTAATCTTGCTTTCAAAAAAAAAACAATCAAACCAACATAATTAAATATAGGGTGTTAATAAAAGTACTCTTTTCTCTTTTACCAGTACATATACAGGCTGTATAATTATCAACTGTGTGTCTGAGGGCAGGTTTGCTTTAACCAGCAGATAGAAACTGCTGTTTTACTGTGACAAGTATAAGGAGGCACATTTCCTGCTTTGAAAGCTACTGACATGCAAGACAAATAAATAGGAACAGGTTTACGGTGTGACATTGAGCAGAGCTGCAGATGTAATCATCAGGCAGAAAGTGGATGATCAATGTATGGAATCGCAGACATAAAACCAGACTGAAAGACAAAGCTCAGCTCAGCAAAGCTCAGTTGGCAATGGCAGCATCCCATTTGCTCCACATGGGTGAACAGGGCTGGAGCAATTCTACAGAGGAGGCAACAGGACGTGAGCAAGGAGTATGACAGCTGACCGTGGAGGGATTCTGGGAGCTCCTGACCAGACATCAGCCAGGTCTTGAGGAGGTGGAGGTGGTAGGGGCAGTGATGCAGGTGGTGGGCCATGGCCCTGTCCACAGCCAGAGGGGCAAACTCCGGCAGGGCCAGCTCAGCAGGAAGCCCCCTAGTAGATGGACTATGAGGAGCACGACTGAGGGGTCTGAGGGGTGAGAGGCAGAACAGGGAAGGAGGAAGAGACAGTGGAGCTGTGCCACAGATGAGCACGGAGCTAACAGTGATGCTTTCTGTAGGAGTCAGAATACAAAATCTAAAGACATGTTATCAGGGAACGAAAAAGGAGAAAATGCTGCAGATTCAATCTCTGTGACTTTAACAAAAACATGGGATGACCTTTAGGTTATGAATGACGTAGGTCAACAGTGCCAGTCCTTTCAAAGACTAGAAGGTCACTCGGAGTACTAATGCCCAACGAGACTGACAGGGCACCTTAATCATCATATTGCAGGAACATGTCTTGGGAACAGACACATCCAGATCATGATCCAGATCCACCGCAAATTAAAACTCTTCATAGATATTAGCACTCTATGCCTGACATCGGCATTATTTTTGAAGAAATCTTGCAATGTTAAGCAAAGGTTAAAAAAAATCTGGGATCTGACAGCCTAACTGAATCTGCCGGAAAATAGAATGGATTCCTTCGTGGCCCATATCTCACTCCTCCACCAAGTATCCTGTTTTATTCACCTTGAGCAAATAGAAGTCAATCTATGACATCACATGTTCAGTGGAATTATTGAAAAACCTCAGCAGAGACAGAAACAGATCACAATCACTCAAGCAGTCATCAATATCATTCAAAGACAAAATCTTCAACCATTATTTCAGATAAAACTGTGACAAGCCAGACATTTGGAGACGGAGATGACACATCAGCTCAGTGATCACAAAACTTGAGAGAGCACTAAACCTGCAGTTAAACAGTATAGTATATCTATTTTAAAGGCTGTTCTCATTTCAGTGTATGAGTCGTTCATTCACAATATGAAATTAGGCTTTATGATATATAGAAATGACAAAACACAATTTTCTATCTCTGTGTGATACATTTTACAAGGTTAGGAGAAGAATGTTGTGACTGTTCATCATTACACATTCCAACTGTGGGAATTTGCTAATTTTCTCAATGTGCACCACATGTTTCATCAGACCAGGGTGAGATAATCCAATAATTCAGAATACATTAGTATAAATAGAATAAAACATTTTTTTTACCTCATCTCTCCCCAGTGTGTGTGTGTGTGTGAGAGAGCAAGAACAAGGGCGTATGTTTGAATTACCTGCACAAACAAATGTCTGAGGCTAGGATCAACTCTGATCAGCAAGAAACATATGGCTCCTTAACACTGCACTGATTTATGACTCAATCTTACAGAAAACAGGCGATTAGAAATGTTCTCAAAAACGTTTTGTACCAACAAAATCTGAGCAGAAGCTTTTCTAAAACACTATTAAACATTTACAGTGACAGACAATTATCTACAAAAGCCAGATATCTTCTAGATTAACAAACTGTATAGCAATATTTTTTCTGTCTCATTGATGTGAACATTACAAGAATAACTTATGATGATTTATGTCATTTTATTACTTCAACTCCCCCTTTTTTACTGCCGACACACTGGCTATACTTGAGACCAAAGTGAAATAAATACTGGTTCTCAGTGGTTGGTCCAAACGCTTGTCAACATCAGATCACATTTCTGAATTACACTGACTCTGCTTGTCATTCTATACCGACACGTCACATGACCCCTGCACTGGGACCACACGTAAATTCTCCTGCTGAAGTGCAGCCAACACTGTTCAGACTGCCAACACACGCTGGACTATTTCTGAGCCATTTATCTCAACCCTCCACACCATTCAGTCATATCTGATTATCCCAACAGGACTCAGCTTCGTGCTGCTCAACAACTTAGCTCCCTCTCGGTCTAAATGATCCATTGGGACTGCTGACAGTGAGCTCACCCATGAAAGATCTCCCTGTGCACAGTGGGTCTACAAAACTGCCTTGAACGCATTTCAAGAAAGTTAAGAGTGAATACCATCAAACTGCAGCTTTGAAAATGACACAAAGTCTTTGCAGAAAAGAGGAACTGAACTACCCTCATTAAATTCCCAACAACTACTGTTTCCAAAGGAAAACATCAAACTCATTGGCTACTTACCAGTGACACTGAGGACATGAACAATATTCACAAACAGACTCAATTATCTTTAAGTTTGAAAGCAGGAAACTGTAAATCAACTGTTTATTTCAATCAATCATCAATCAAATGCTAATTGTAAAGCCCATGTTCACAAATCACAATTTGTCTCATAGGGCTTAACAAGGTGCGACCTCTGTCCTTTACTCTGAACAAGAGTAAAGAAAAACTACCAAAAAACCCTATTAACAGAGAAAAAAAACCTGAAGAAACCTCAGACAGAGCCACATGTGAGGGATCCCTGTCCCAGAAGTGCAATAGATGCAGCACTTAACTGAGAACATTAACAAAATAACCGTATTTACAAAATTGATTAAAAGAGACGGAAAAGTGTGTCGATGTTGAAAGTGTTTATACATGAGGAAATGTCAGAGATGAAGGAGGAAGCAATAACAAATTAATTTTCCTCGTCAACCAACATGTTATGCAAATACTCACTATCAGGTGGGATTTAAATAAAATAAAGAGGCACTTTTATAGAACTAGAAATAACATTTTTCCCTATTGATGAATCTGGTGGTTACATTCACGCTCCATCAGTAAATCATTTGATCTCTGAAAAATCACAGAGGGACAGAAACGCTTAGTTACATCTGACCAATCAAACATTAACTTTATTTTTGCTTTAAAAATACTGTGAAATGATGAAGTGATTCTTGTCATTCAATCAATAAAACAAAGTTTGTTTAACAAATCTATTTTCAGTGCTGCTTATGAAATAGAGCAAATTTTAAGAAAGAAATAAAGTTGCAAAGTAAAGTCTTGTGATCCTACAAAAAAAAGAACTGAGAAATCAATCAATTTGTGCAGACACTTGCAAAAATCATAAAAACATTGTGTCTTTGATTTTGTGAGGAGCTGCTCTTCCACATATTGTAATGAGACGCACCCCCTGAAAATATTGTTTTTCTTCCAGTGTTTTTAAGTAATAGTGGAAGTACTTCAGTCTGTGATCACAACTAAGGGTAGGTACAAGTGCAGGAAAGTACAATTTCTGATCACACCCATCAGTGATGCTGAACTTGGAAACTTTAAACCAGAAAAGGCAGTGACAGACTGTTTTATAAGCTGGGCTAAAGTGACTCTTAGCCAACACTCAGAAATTTATAGAATAAATGATTTCAAATTAACAATAAGTGCAGGAGATTATCTACACATGGAAATATAGACAATCCATCGTGTGAAGAAACAGCAGGATCAGAGAGGCAAATTAAACAAATGCAGGCAGAGCAGGTGGTGTTAAAGGTGAGGGCCAAAAACAACACAACGTAAACAAACACAGAGGATGTGTGGAGAAACAGAAACCAGTGAGAATAATTGAATTATTTTTTAATCCTGGAGACGTTTAATGTAATTAACGCAACCAAACGTCAAAGTCCCAAAAATAGAAAACACATCAAATGTTTTCCCACAAAAAAGGCCATGCAACATAACAAGAAAAACTGGAGGAGTGTCGAGATGAACTTGAATAAATGCAGACATACCATTAGTCGGATGCCTGGCAAACGACACAGAAAATCTCTTTACTGCCGGCATAGAGAACAGCTCTGAGGAGATAAGAAAGTTAACTGGTGTTACTGGGACTGCTGGTACCTGTGTCTGCCTGTTGGCCTGTTTTTTATGTCAACATGAGGAAAATAAAAGAGAGAAAAAGTGAGAGAAAAAGAGGGAGAGAGTTGGACGTCCATTCATCAATGTCCGTTTGCCAACCAGCATGCGTGTAAATGAGTCATCTCTGAATAGACCAAGAGGAGATAGGCTATCAGAGAGAAAGTAAATGGAAAGGTTGTGGAGATGATGGAGTAAATGTTTTGGTTGAATAATAAACATGCATGAGAAGTGATGATGAGTCTGTGATAGGAAACAATCTAACAATCCACTCTCCCTTTTTATACCTTTTGTTGGCCTACACTTAACTTTCTTTTCAGTTTGAAGCCATATTTTGACATTGTGGGAAATAATTTTACCCATGTTGATTCCAAGAATGATACGTCTAAAGCTTACCAACTAATATGTTGTTTCTTGTTTCCTTAAACCATTCAAATACGATTCTTTTAGCTCTGTTTTGGGTCTCCATCACTAAACCCTAAAGGAAATATCTGGCTCAGTAGCTGCTATATGTTCAACTATGATTACTAACTTTGTCTGTACATTGTTTGATGCTTGGACAGGTATTCAAAATGGACTTTTGGTGCACTTTCACCAGAAAGAGCTGCCTGCTTAGGTGGAAAATGAAGCAGTGACAGTGAACCAGAACAGTAAAGTTGCAGAAAACCATCACGATGAGCTGAAAGACATTATGGAGCTCCACAGAGCTGAGGGGAAAAATGATTCAAGTGATGGTTTACTGTGGTTAGAAATCATATGATAGATTGTGAATGTGAAATATTTATCATAACTACATTAACGTAGTAAATACCTCATTGAAATGAACATTGCTTCTGTGACCCAACCAGTAGTGACACAAACCTGACCAAAACTAATAAAATACTGGTGTTATAGCCTGATCTCTATCTAGGATCACTACATGTTTGTAAGAATAACCAGTTTGATATGATTAATTGTGGTGAATTGCCTCCAAGTTTTGAATCCATTCAAAAGAACACATTTGGAACATGACAGTTGGTGTTGAGAGAAGGGTTATGAAGTTCTAACCCACAAAAAACAAAAGAACCAACCGATACTGCTGGTCATTCTCAGATTATTCTCAAGCGAATAAGATGTCGTCCTGAGGAAGCCCTCCATCTTCCCTTAAATGAACAGTGCTGATATGAATTCAAACCCGTTAACTGTGCGTCACAGAGCAGCACATGACATGTCAGAGAAGATGAAAAGCATGTGTCACCTTGCAGCCAGAGTGACACCCAGTGGACATATTGAACTGCTCAGTTTCCAGGGTTTTTAATCTGCAGTGAGGAAAAAAATCCTGCTGCTGTTCAGGGCTGGACCATATGCATACATCTATTTTGCTGGGGAAAATGATCTACTGCTGATTTAACCCAAGGGTGTCATATTCCTGATTGGAAGCTGCTAAAAAAAACAAACTCGTGTTACTAAATCGCTGTGACCATGAGACAGATATTCAACACATGTTTGGGATGAGTAAACCTGATATGAGGACCTCTAGTGGCTGTTAAGGCAGCTTCCTTTTTACTCACCATAGTCAAAAGGAAACTGAATGGGAGGGGAGGGAGATGAGACTGGGGATTATTTAAAGGTGAATTATTGTGTCTTAAAAATATGTCTGTTCCAAATAACAGGCTGAGTTTCTTAATGTGGGGATTACCATAATTTGTGATTAATGAGAAAAGCAAGGCACACAAATGAATCCACTGTGGATTATTGAATTCAATTCCCTGAGAGACAGAACTGTACTTCCTACACAACAACATGCACAGAGAGAGTATATTTCAACACATTCGAACCCAAGAGTGGGTGATCAGTGAGCGGACATGCCGATCTGGAAGAACACCCATCTTTGATAATATCACACAATCCGATGCAAGGTCGCATGCTCAGCATCTGCAGCACAGCAAATCTCTCCTTGGTCAAATCAGAGCCATTATCATGCACACTGTGTAGTAAAATAATCAAAAAATGTGATGCAACAGTTTGAAAGTGCTGATTTGTTTAGGAAACGGGAGCGAAAGAAAGGGAGCTTCGATCAAAAAAGAAGGGGACAGAGTGAAAGTCCCCAATAAAAAACGATCCAAGTATCTGAAGCTAAAGAGGAAAAAAGAAGAAGAAAAAATATATTTTGAAGTCAGAAAGAATAAAAAGAATGTATAATAATAATAAAAAAAAAAAAGAGACCTGCCTTGTAGAGGAAGACAGAGAGCGGTGTGAACATACCAAACATGCCAATCTGGCATGGCAGGCTGCCGGGGGACAGAGGTGGCTTTCGGTGGTGGTGGTGGTGCGTGCGGACGTAGTCCCGCAGGTTGGGGGCGCTACAGGACACCCCGAGGGCAGAGGCACTGAAGAGGCCAGAGCAGAGGGAGCCTGTGTGAGGGGGAGCCGGGGGGGAGCGGAGGTGTGAAGGGTGTGCATTAGTTGTCATCACACACCATGCCGTTACTGTCATAACAAACTGTGGCTATGGGCAGTTTTTCCATTCAAAGTAAAACAGTTTTTTGGGTAATATTTAGAAAATCTGACAACAAGGCTGCAAGTTTCTTCATGGTTTACACAACAGTACATCTGTATGACGTGTGTAAGTATAAGTGGGTGTATGTATGTGTGTACACAAGACTAATAGTGTGTGCATGTGTGTTTCGTATGCAAATAGCAGCATAGGGGTATGAACAGGTCGTGTGCATAAACCATCTGAAGTTGCAGTAACTGCTGCCAAATTTTCATCTGTTTTTACACATTATAGATTCTTCCAATATTTCAAATCAATGTTGAGTTTTAAACCACACAGGAAATAATGTTTGACACAACAGACACAAAAAAAGGTTAGTGCATCAATGTTAAGTCTGCCCATTCCTTTGTTCTATAAACAGTCAGAAGGTATGAGAGGCAGCTCGCTGACAGAGGTCGTCCTTGACACCTGCTGCTGCCGTGGGTGACCTGAGCAGTCAGTGTTGATGGTGTTGGACGTGGACAGGGAGGGATCACTCAGCAGCCTCGCGCTGACAAACAAACTGACAGGCTCCACTCAGGAAACAGAGGCTTTAGATGGAGCTCTTTTGATGTCGCACTGAAACAACTGCTATTTTCTGACATGATAATTAGGCAGCGTTATAGCCACACTGCCCTTTTGTACTTTTACATGCTCTCATTTGCACTGTCTTGACTGCCTGGTGTTCATGGTTACACTTGATTAGATTATTTCAAACTTGGAAAGGCTTATTGCCTTCTTTACTTTTACAAATATTAATTTAAATTTTTTTAATCTCTTTTAGGTCAAAATTGAGAAAACAAAGGAAATGAACAGCACTGAATACCAATGAAAACCATATCAAACAACCAGAAGGACTATATTGTTCTGCTACTGGAATCGCAATTATATTTCTTTACATAAAACATATCATCAAATATTGTTAAAATCATTTAATCCCAAGCACAAGAGAGCTACATAACTTATTATTATCGAGGACATAATTTTCTTTTAAAGCTCATTGCAAATGCTTGTGTAATATGAAGCTATGCAATGAGGCTGTTTCAAGTATCCCAGTGTGATACGCCTCTATTTCAAACATCCAGTGGGGCACACATGACCAGACCGTTTCCACAGAGTGACTCCACGCCCTGTTCTCACATTCATGGTTTTATGGTTTCCTCCAGATGTCCTGAATCAGCCAATGACCTTTCATGCTCGTGTGAGTCACCGCGCAGGTTGTTGGAGGTTTCATGCTCTTGTTAACTGTACATACAGCAAAACAAGAAGCCTTCAAGCGAACCTGGAAGGACTAATGTTGTGCTGTATTCACAGGGGGAGGTTATATCAGATTCAGCTTCTCTCATACAGGCGATTTACAACATTTTCTGCCTTCAATTCATTAAAAATTTAGATTTTAGAAAGGGTTTATTGTTGCAGAATGTTGTCAAACATAGACAACGTTTTAAGTGAGTACCGGTATGTTGAGATGTTATCAGAAAGCAGACACAACCATGTTAGACTAAGGAAGTGACTTAGTAAATACTGTAACTAAATAAATCCTTACATAAAGAAAGTTTAAATCATACATTACAAACAGCTTATAAACTGGACAACACTGTAAGTCATCCTAGAAATCAAACCTCAACCTAATGGACATAATACATGTGTAAGACTGCAACTTCTCTCTGTGTGCAAGAGCTCACAAGTTCCTTCAAATACAAAGCTACATTATGTACTGTATGTTACCACTGGTGCAGGTTTTGAATTTTTTACAATATATACATGGTTTAAATTCTTTATATTCTATTCAGACCCGAGTAAATAAATTTAAAGAAACTGAACTTCTTTGTAGAAAAAAATTACATTCTACTTGTTAAAGTATTGTTGTCTGATCACTTTTAACTTCACACCATCCGTAAGATTTGTTGATTTGTTTTATGGTTATTTAATTAATATTTGTATATTGGTGAACAGTGTTAAATATTATGTTATCAAAATCCAGTCAAATGATTCAGTGCGATCATGTAAATCTTGGTTCAGTTCCGGTGTTGACATGAAAAAATAACAGATGGAAACACCAACAGTATGCTCCCTATGTTGTCACCTTATCACCTAGTGGAGGTATCAGTACCTCTCTGAACACTGCAGAGATCCTGCAGTTGGCTGCGAACACTGCTCTCCCAACTGACCTCTTACCTAAATAGTTTGGAGTCTGATCCCGTTTGGCTGATGCTAGGCTAAGCTGGGTGGAAGCTACGTGACCAACAGAAAGCTTGGGGGTGGGGGTGACGGAAAGAAAAGAGGAAAGGAATGACAAAGAAATGAATGAGATACAGTTAGATATGGAAATGGGTGGGAGGGGGAAGTCACAGGGTCTTGTAATGATGAGGAAGATCAGTGAAGAAAGCTGGTAATAAATGTGTACACACACACACACACACACACACACACACACACACACACACACACAGACACACACACACACACACACACACACACACACACACACACACACACAGTACATACAAACAAGGTGCCCACCTAAGCCAATGGTTGGTTTGATCTCAGGAGACTGGCGTGAACAGGAGGGGAAGAGTCGGTGGGAGATGCTGCCCTTGGAGGAGTGGGTGGGAGAGGTCTCTGAGAGGACCTGAGTGGGGTCATGGAGACATGAAATTATAGGGATAGTTCAACGAAAATTTGAAAGTCACTAATAGTCTACTCACCACAATGTCGATGGAGGGGTGGGTGAAGAGTTTGAGTCCACAAAACACTTTAGGAGTCTCAGGGGTAAACAGTGTAAATGACACTTTTAGGTAAATATGAATGTCGGGGGTTACGGACACTCGGATGACACCACACAAGCAGTACAGAGGCATAATGTGTGTTTTTTCTGTTGTTTTATTTTGTCTGAAGAACGCGTCCTGTTTACTTTAAATGTATTGGATTTGGCTGCAACACTGTTTACCCCTGAGACTCCAAAAGGATTTTGTGGACTCGAAAACTTCACCCACCCCTCCATTGGTAGAGTGGTTGGTGGATAATGAGTGAAATTTCATTTTCAGTGAACTATCCCTGAGACTGAGATGGCTACACAACAGCAGAAACAGTTTAATATGAAAGAAAACATAGCAAAGACAACGTCCTCTGTGAAAAACTAAAACTGAAGCAAAGACCCAATCACATCCACTCAAGGTTTTCACATTATCAAGGCGACGTTCATACAAATATGTTTTAGTTTGAAAAAGCATCAACTCTGCTATGTTAACAGCTGTCGTCTAAACTACTCAGGAAGCTGCTAAAATGGAACATTTTTCAGCTTTTTTGTCAGGCTCTTATCACATGACCAGAAGAAAACAACTAGCATTAGCTTCGTCTACCAGTGCAGAACATAACATGGATAATCATTTACAAGTGGAGCTGACACTGTTGTCATTGTTAACAGCTGTTGTACAGTTAAACTCAACCGACACATGCATGCCTTCCTGTTTACACCAGTCCACGTATGCCCAGTGTACATGTGTGGTCATGTGATACGTGTTTTATGGCTTGTTGGTATGGACCGAAATTAAATCTGGTACGGAGCCAAAACGCTTGTGTCAGAGGTAGTTTCAGTTTGAATACGCAGTTTTCTAACTAAAACGTAGTATGAATGTAGCCTAAGATTACATTCTGCCTGTTGCTTAATCACTGATCACTTCAGTCTGGTACCTCCATGGAGCCCGTCTTGCGGTTGCGGATCATGGGAGACCGTCGCTGGATGTTGATCGGCTCAGAAATAGGAATTGCCTGGTCTGGCTGGTCCTGGGAGAGGTCCTCTAGACTGCCTTGATTCGGCTTTTTGTCTTGATTCTGATGTGGTCAAAAAATACATGAGGGAGAAGACTAGTTTTTCATACACTCTTGACTATGAACCTGCATGGGATGGAAGTCACCACATGTTACTCTAAACATAGTACACACTACAACATAGTATGCAGTCATAAGGCACACAGTGGATAGGATGAGAGTAGTTATGTTTTCACAATGCACAAGAATTTATCTGAGGGTCAGCAAGTTTGGTGCAACTTCTCACAAAAAAAAAAGGCACAAAACTTCTGAATGTAATCATATAAACACCAGTTAACATTGTGCGGATGTAAGCAGAGAGAAGAACATCAACTCAGGGGCCTTGGAAAGCTGATATATCATCTAGATACAACCACACAACAAATCTGACCAAAAAGAAGATAAACGGTGGTGTACGGTGGTGGAGAGGCAGCCAAAGTGGCAACTAAAATATAGTGATGAATGGTTAAATCATTAATCTCATTCCAGATACAGTTCTGTAATTGTATGCAACTTGGGGCATTGATTACTGTCTTTAGATTTAACAATCTGTACAACTTTAGGATGTCGACTGTGGGTAAACCTGGTAGACAACCCCACACCTTTACACACCTCAGAGGAGGCCGGGCGGAAGCCGTAGCCGAGAGGTACATTCTCCTCATCATCACATCCTTTGACTCCTGGGCTGAAGTGAAGCTCGACATGGAAACGCTCCTCTGAGGAGGGGTCCTGTTTGCCACACATAATTTAAAAAACAATGATTTATAATCATAAATATGGTACAATATAAGTAATAAAGAGCATTGCTACACAGTGATGCAGCTCTGTGTAGCCTGACCTTATTGTTGTCTTCATACAGCATGATGACTATCTGTGTCATGTAGTTAAGCTCAGACACAGCACTCAGGTAGTCCATCGCCTGTTTCCACTGCTGGTCCTTCTCCTCCTGATGCGCACGCATGTAGGAGCACACACACAAACAGATGATGAACACATGCAATTGGTGTTACATCGGTCTGTAGTCAACAGAAATTATATAATGATTTAAAATTAAACAATTAAGTTTAAATTGTTGCTCAACCGTCGTGACTATCAAACGATTATCAAACGATAAATCCCGTCCCCACATTTCACCTTTGTTAGAAAAGACAAATGAGCACATATTATATGATCTCAGAGTCCATTGGCTATCATCTTTTGCCGAACACTGTTTACAGTCGGACTAGTTTCTTTCATTACAAGAGTCAAATATTTTTCCATACGAAACATTAACAGTGATACTGTTTGTAGGTGTTTTAGGTCCAAATGATTTTTTGCAAACCTCTGTTAGCAACCATCTGCACGTGAACGCAGATAAATTAAAAAGCCGATAGCTGATCATTTCTCCCAATGTGTTAAGCCTCTTTTGCAATCCACACTGACTGTTTACATATGGGCAACCTAAGCCGACTGAAACTTGATTAGACAAACAAGAAACAGAAACCAGAAAAAAAAAACAGCTTTAAGAAACTTCATCAAACAAATACTTGATTAAAATCCCTGAATGGACTTTCTTAGTCATTTAGTGAAAACTGCAATGAAGTTTTTAGATAATTTTTGATTTTGTTAAATCCCACTGCAGATATATTCATTATATACAACAAGCTAACAAATGGAAGAAAGAACAACATCATTCAGTGGGGGAAAAAAATCTGTCAGATGATAAAAGCACAGCGTACATCCAGCAGGCCTCCGTAGCGGAAGACGCTGAGCAGGGAGTGGACGTGGCTCTCGCTTGTGAAGTAGAGACGTGTGCGGACGTGACGACCAGGAGACATCACACCCCGAGAATACCTGAACACCAGGGCACAGGAAATGACACGAGAGCTCATCAGTCAGCATGATAGCAGATACTACAGAAACAAACAGAGGTACATGTGAACATGTTTGTGCTTCAGTGGTGGTTTTTAATGCTCACAGGGGGTGCAGCTTGTTAACAGCCTCATCCTCATGGGTCCTCTGCAGATCGAGCTGGATTTTCTTCATCAGAGGAACACAGTAGGCCTGAGCAATGTCCAGTTTCTCAGCTTTGCTGATACCGTACTCCTGGTATGAATGATAGGAAGATAAAAAGCTATTTGAATAGTTTTATTGACATCTTTTGAATCTACTTGTACATGAAATGCAGGAGATGGACCATATTTTGGGGCAGGAGTCAAGGAAACGTTCTGAAAGTTACAGGATGAATGAGAGTAATCAGTGACACATTCATTGAAAACCTGGTAGAAATGACACTGTTCTGCTTTCACCTGTGGTATAACTATGTCAGCCAGGGCACGGGACAGTCTGAACAGCTCCAACGTGTCCTCCAGTCCTAGGGAGGCATTGTGCTGTGAGTCGTATTTGATGCAATCATAGATGTCTGGGATCTTGCTGATGTCGTAGCGCCCGTTCTTCATGCGGAAATCTCTCTCTAATTTGGACCAGCGCTGAAGCATCAGCTCCAATGTCTCGCTGTGGTAAAGCTGCAGGTCTGGAGCAAAACACACAGGAGGATTCATTGTCATGATCTTTAACACTAAATGTCTACTGTATTGTTTCACTATAAGCACAAATGACACTTTTGCTACATCTGTCCGGGGACAAGCCTAGATTCAGGTACTAAGGGTTCACACTACCTGCAGACTTGGGGTCCTCCAGTCTCTTTCGGATCTGTGTGGTGAGACTCTGGATGAGGGTGTACACCTTGTCACAAGTGTTGACTGGATTCTGAATGATCTTCATGGAGTTCACCAGGGAGGGACTACCTGTTGAGGCCAACTGACACCCAGTGACAGAAGGAAATTGATAAATTGTTCTACATGATATCAGAGGACATAGACAGGAAGGACTTTGGTAAACCTGCTGCCAATACATGCATGGGTAGTATATATTTATATTCGGATAAGTATTAATACTTCAGCAATGTAGACTTGATAAGCACGCAAAACTGTTTAACTTTCAGAGAGTTACTTGCAAACAGGACAATGCTGAAGTCGTCATCTTATCAAATCATCTTAAAGTTTCATTTCAGGATCTCACGCTTGACAAATACCTTCTCATAAGCTTCAGCTGCAAAGTCCTGATCCCTCTGCATGATTTCATGTAGCCTTGCCTTCACCTTCTGCTGGCAGTCAGTCAGAGAGTCGCTGTCGCTGTCCAGCAGTCCATTCATGTTGGCACTCTTCACCATCTGGACCAGGATCGGGGTCAACTCTCCTTCCAGAGCCAGCAGACCCTGCAGAGAAACCGGAGAACCTGAACTGATGCCATTGTGTGTCATCTCTACTTTTTCCCTGTCCTGTGGGAAAATACATAAACCTTTTATCTTTTTATAGCTAGGGTCAATCTTAATCAGGTTTTTCAAAAAGCTTTGGCACATTGATTCTTTTTAAGACTTTTTTGTAGATCTACAGCCTCTTGTCACAGGATTATTTACGTAAAAAAGCCTGTATTTATATCCCTATGTGCAAAAGTACAAGTGTTTGAAGACATTTCATGATGTATATGCTGTAATTTTGTATTTTTTACTAAAGTGTTTAAAACAACTTCAGTGACACATAAAGGTTTAGTCTTTCAGGCACAGAGGCAGAACTACCTTGGCAAAAGCAGCAGCTGTCATTTGCACTCTGCCTTCATCAGAGGCGTAGATCTTCAAATCGTGGCGGTAAGTGCTGTGCAGGCGCAGGAGGCCACACCCAGGAAACCCAGCATAGTCACCTGGAAGATTGTACAAGGAGTGAAGCATCACAGTTAACTGAGCTTTTTATGGCACTAAGATTCTGTACACTGAAGAAGCAGCTGAGTCACAGAGGTAGTTGAAAAGAAAATAATTTTCAGTTGAAATACATGGACCTAAATATATGTAAGCTTTTACATGGCCCTCTTCACTTTAAATGTGTTTTTAAGGTTCAATAAAATGAAGTGAAAGTTAAGTGAATAGATGCTAAGTGAAACCCAACAGCAAACAGCTTTCCTGCAGATGAGATGAAAGACTTTAGATTATATTATTGAATAGAGACAATAAACATTTCTTAAATCTCTCACATCTTTTAAAATTGAAATATATTTGAAATCATGTAACTGCATATGAACCCAAATTAAATCACACTGATGCTTCATGCATTTATTTAGTCTATAGCTAATAAGTCTGACATTACATTGTGGACTACTTTGGTTTATCGTGCCTTATTTAAGTTGGACCTGGTGCATGTTGGGGATTGACCCCTGTTCTAGGATCTAATACTGGCTAAAACAAACTGGCTATAATCAAACAAAAAACAACAAGACATGAAAAATGCTGTAAGATTAGTGTGAGATAACCTGCGTTAGCTTACAACACCAAACAGCCACTCTGGCTGCCTGTGTATGTACCAACAAGACATTGGATCACCTCGGGAGACATCAACAATGACACAAACAATACACAGCAACTTCAGCCTAGGACACACAGGACTAGTTGCCAGATTAGATGAATCAAAAGGTCATGATGAGACGAGAAATCAGAGCACGTTAGTGAACGGAGCGACAAGCGCGCAGAGCACGGAGAGAGGCATGGAGGAGCAGTGACATCCAGGCAACCCTTCTCTTACCACAGTCAATAGGGGACTCGCAGCCAAGGGACCCGCGGTTACCGGCTAGTGATTTAGACAGCGCAACAACAGGTGAGAAGAGAAGAGCAGAGTTAATAGACAAAACTTGTGCTGGAGAAGAGGAATGGAAACTGTAGCTGCGGTGAGAAAATAGACTTCTTTTCATTTAAAAAGAAGCAGCTGAGGAAACAGAATGCATCTACTAACCCTTGGCTATACGTTTAGTGCAGCTTCAGGTTGTTTTTCTGCACAGTTTGCATCACGATGAAACAAAGCAACATAAGGAAAGCCTGAAAATAATAATTGATTGCTTATGATATTTGCTTAGTTTTGCTCTGCTTGTGCTCAAGCTGTGCGCTTTGTTGGTAGTTTGCTTCTTGGGCTAATTTCCTTCTCTCAGATTTCTCCTCTGCTTTTTTTGTGCAACAAGTCTGTCAGAACACCCCAACAAATAGAATACCAAGTATGAATGAAATGGTTCAAATAGAGAGGAGAAAGTCCTTCGTTTAACCAGCAGGCTTATACAGCGGCTCACTGTATTTCACTTTAGTTAAATGGGTCAGGGTAGATGTGCTGTTTGTTCTCTTTTCAGAGATTAAAGAGCAAGCCTGTTTTCTATGCGAGTGCATACCACACAATATAGCACAACGTGTCGCAACTACTGGCTGGCAGAGCAAGCAGCACTTTCATCCCGGGAATAGTTCCACTTTTAAAGAACGTTATACGATGTGATCACTATTTTCATTTTAAAGTAACAGTGTCATATTCACCAAGGAGGTTATGATTTCTTCTGCTTCAGTTTGTTTGTTTGTTAGAAGGAGTATGCAAAAACTACTCAACCGATTTCCAAGACGTGGTGAGAGCATAACATTGCATAACATTGTGAGAGCATACATTGTGTTTTTTTTCAATATTTCATTGATTTCCAAGTAGAAATCCTGATGTAGTGAATTTAAATATGGTTTCACTGTTGAGCCTTGGCTATATAATATCACTATTATATGACCTACCAATTACAACAGATATGAAGGAATATCAGAGTCCCAGAGTTACACTTCAACATAAACGATGTAGCCATGAAGTGAATAACAGCCGATCTTGCAAACTACAAGCAGAGACAGTAGGTATCTACAATCTTTCCCTTATCCAAGCAGAGTGTACTGAGATAAGTTCTGACCGAGGTGTTTGTAGATGATCAGTTATCACTTCCACGTTGGTTTTGTTTGCAGTTTGGTTACAGTGTGTGAATATCTGTATCATTAAAAAGGAACAACAAACAAAACATTTCTCTTATAACCAATTTTAAAAGTGCAAGGGCAGCAGCGTTTTGATTAGCTAACATAATTAAGACCTAAATGTAATTTTTAAACATATTTAAGACTTTTTAAGGCCTAAAATTTAGATTATTACGAGTTTTTAAGACCATGCAGAGACCCTGGAATGTTTCTGACTGAGGTCATAGTGAGTGGTGGGTGTTGTACGGGACTCTGCATTATATTGAAAGTGATTTTAAATGTCTTCTCTACTAATTTTTGTGAAGGTGGGAGTCAAAACATGAGAAACTACTGTCACCTTAAAATATTTGAGTTCAAACTACAAACTCAGCCATTAACCTAACAGTTAAATTGATACTTAACCCTGTGATAGTTTCAATCAAACCTGAACATTGTGATCTGTGTGTGTTGTTGGCCGGGCTGTTGTATTTAATTCCATTCTGAGTAATGATGTCACCACATACTGCAGTTTTACTTCATGTCCTTCCGTTGCTGTTAGAAAGATAATGTTAATCTCCATTATGGTTGTTGCTCTGCATGTATGTTTAACCTTTGACAATAAAAGAAATGCAGCAACATTGCATCATAGTTCTAAAGCCAATAAAAGTGGTTGACAACTCAATTTTAACTTAAGGTGGACTTACATGCTGGTTGTGGTGCTTTTGACTACAACACTCAGTCTTTATCAAAAACAGGTATTGTACAGATTCCAACTCTATTCTATTATAACTTCTGTTTCCAAGGTCAACGACAATCTTTCAAGCTGAAATATGAACGTGTATATCTATGTCGTCCTCTAATGGCCACTCTGAGAAAACACTGACTGTTCTGAACAAAAAAGGAAACTGTCCAATGTATTATTTCAAGTACAAAGTCAAGGGTCTTGGAGACATATTAACAGTGTGTGTGTCAGATTTTTTCTAGCTCCAGAATGCTTCTTCTATCAGTTATGTGACTTTATATATAGTAATGTTTGTATTTGTCTACAGCTTTAATGACTTTTTTTAAAGAGAATTTTCAGAAAAGATTTTTTTTCAACTTGACATCAAAACCTTTATAACTCATCAGGCAAATTTATTAGCATGAAGTGAAGACAGAAGTGACACGATTTCAAGCTTGTAAATTCACAGATAAAGTAATAACAAAGTTTTGATAGTAAATTAACATTTGTAAACCTTTAAAATAAAGCTGGATGACAAATTCAAGTTTGTGCATTGGTAGAAAAGATTAGTATTTTCTTAAAGAACAAAAAAGAAAATGTTTTACACCATTGAAGAGCACATTTTTCACAATAGCCAAAGAAGAGAGTTCCTATGTAAGTTCACCCGTTAGCTGTAGTGTGTGTATGTGTGTCTGACTAGTACCTTGACCTCCAGGGTACATGCAGCGAAAGGCCCTGCCCAGCTCCTCAGCCTGAACCCGGCCTGCAGGCGTCAGCTCCCCGCCCCACTTCAACACCAGCAGCAGAGAAGGACCGTCCCTCTTAGAGTCTGGAAAAACAGCAGTGGATTTGGAAATGGCTTTACACCTTCTATCCCTTCCAACCAAGTCAAGACTCCCTTTTCTAATTTAGCACCTTTCATTTGCTAAAATCTTTTATTTGAATTATAGGTTTCTGGCTGTTTAAATGTTTACGGTTGCCGGAAGGATTCCCACGCTGCAGTCATTTACTCCGTGTGTGTGTGTCTGTAAATACCTTCTTCTTCGCTGGAGGCTTTAGGTTGGCCGTTGCGCAGGTAGGTGAGCTGGACTTTCCTGTTGATACCTGAGAAATGACCGTACCTGGTGGGCAGGAATAGACAGACCGTTAAACACAAGAAGATACAAAGAAACAAGTCATCCCATTCTTATCTATTTTAACACCAAACACACATGACTTAATCTGAACCCATTCCAACAAAAGTTTGACAAAAACAAGACAGCAACTTCTTCCAAGTCTGACACACTGATCACACACACAACACAGTAACCGTATTAGCAGTTGGTTTAATGATAATTCGGTCACTCAGTTGTTACTAAGGATGGAAGCAGCTAAAGACCCGTAGCTTTAGATATCCACTTATTATTTCAGTGTGAGTTTGTGTGCATGTATGGGCACCAGAACAAAATAGACATTGTAACTTCAATTGCCTTTTGCAATAGTGCCAGGGTGAAATTCAACGTCAATTATATTCCTCTTGTGATTCTCAAAAATCTAACGCAGAAACATTCAAGGGTCTCCACTTTCCTGCATGCCGTGCTGTCATAAGAATTTGGCCCATTCTGCAGACTAATGACTGCATAGTGTTCTGTATGAGGACAGGCAGCTGAATGGACGACTCACAAAGCCACATGATGATGGACCCTGAACCACAATAAATAACTCTGGCAATGAGCCAGAGGATTGGAGCTGTTGTCACAGAGCCACACTTGAAAAAAATACCTCACACAAAACTGTGTTGAAGTTATTCTTGGTATTTAGGACATCAGTCAGGCGAAGTTTACTGCATTTGGATGGTTTATACTTTTAGGGTGGGGTTTACTTAGAGTAAGGGACGACACAAGGGAAAGCATAGGTAACAGGCAGATCATAGTTACAGGCTTTAAAGTCTCTGAGGTGTACATGCCTATGGAAATAGATTTTTGCCAGCTGTTCAAAAGAATCAAAGTTGTCGAGATGTAAAGTATAAATATAGATTGTGCAGTGAGGTGAGCCCACATCTTTAAGAATACAGCTGGTGATTGTCTTCAGTATGATAAGGCCAAAACCAACAAATCCATGAAAAACACATCAATGAGCTCCTTTGATGATGTCATGTTTCTTCATTAACATACACTGCTGCTTATTCAGAAACAGATTCTCAGACTAATAAATAATGAGGAGTACCCTGGCAGAGACTAATCCTCATGTGTGGTAACGTGTGCTCCTGACGTCGGATCCAAGTTTATTGAGAAAGTTCCCGGGTCTGGGACAAGAATGAATATATGTCCAAAGCACATGAAGAAATAAGTGGGAAGTTAAGACTCATAGAGGTGTAATTTAAAGGGATGTGCTGAGAGACTGAGAAAAACAGCTGGTCAATGCTACCTTCACATGTGATTGTTCTCTCAGGACGGATGTTTATACCGGATGTGAACAGGACCATGCAGCTGTTTTAAAAGTAAGCCAACTATTCCTTTGACTTAGATTTATATCTTGATTACTAAAAACTATGCACTGCATCCAAGCTTTGGTTTTGTGACTAAATCTTTTTCATTCTGCTGTATATGACTGGATATCTTTCACTTGAGTGGATTATATTTAGTTTCAGCCTTTTCCCTCCCTTCCACCCAGTCACTTCACAACATTTTTTCTACTGTAGCTTTGAATTACTTGCAAGTTTGATATTCAAAGACTTGCAGATTATTTTGTTATCTCAGGGGAAAAGAGCAGCAGCAACTCACCATCATTAGTATAAATGCTAACACGGAAGATAGGAGGAAGGAAGACATTACAAGATTGAGAGTCCACTTGATATGTGGTGAGGACGGCATGCAGACACAGCACACACTCATTTTACACATACAGAAACAGTGAAATCAGAGACATTTGACTGTGTATGTGTCCAATATTAATGGCTAAAAATGAATGGATGTTAATGGAAATGATTCACTCTGTGTACAAAACATTAGGAATATCTTTAAATATTAACTTGAGTGCTTAAACTATCTTCTTCACCCAGTTGATATGCATTTTCCAACTATTTCAATGGTTGCCATTGGTGAAAAATCATTTTTTTCATACATTCACCTCGGTCTGTGTCAGGAAGAGACAAGGCATTCCTAATATTTTATACATGAAGACTAAAGAAAAGGAGGGTGGTAAAACCTCATCCTTTAAAATGAGAAGGGAAAAGGGTGCGTACTGAGTGTCATTCAAGCTGGATTCCCTTTTGGAGAAAAAGAAAGATGGATGGTTGATCAGAAGAGAAGAGGGATTGAGGAGGGAAGAAAAGATGAAGCAAAGAGTTAGAGACAAGACGGAGGGAGTGAACCACAGTAAACATGTGTCTGGCTGTGAGTATGAGAAACATGATTGAACCTTGGAGCGTTGACAGATGGAGCTGGATTTGAATCGAGAATCGCAGATGAGAGTGGACGACTGTCGATGAATGGTGATGGCAGAAAACAGGAAGATAATGACTGATGTTGTGTGTTTGTGACCAAGTGCGTGTCTGATGTGTGTGTCACTCACATCTCCAGGACGGTCTTGAGCTGTTCTAGTTTAGATTTCTTCTCCTCGATCTCACAGTCGTTGTGCTGGCCCAGTTCAACCAGCAGTAGGCGGGCGATGTCCAGCACTTCCTGGAGAAAGAGGCAGTTATCCTCAATTTGACTTCTCTTTAAGTTCACTACCCAGACTAAACACACACCAACACTGGATCCTGTACAAACATTCTGACTGAATATTATGTGAAATACGAGCCTGCCAGTGTAGAAACGTTTTTTTAATAAAAAGATGATATAGTGACAGCATGACAGGACTTGAGACGGCGATAACATTTTCAGAAAACAAAACAATAATGGCTCATGATCCAATTTTTGTAATGGAGCCCAGTACTGTAAGGATCCACTCATTATCTAAAGAGGAGAGCATGTGGGAAAAGAGAAACAAAAGATTAAATGAATCTCACTCACTTGTAGCTGTTTTGGCTTTTTTAGCTTTAGCTTTCCTGACTTGTAGCCTCCATGCTTCTCAAACAACTCGAAGAACCTGTGACAGACAAACAGAATAAAGTAGACGGATTAAGGGAGATGAAAGAAGGGAAATGCTTTTGAAGTTCAATGCATTGAGACTTGTTCAATTATTTCTCAAATGAACTTAAAAATGTGGGGCAGCATCAATGAGCAAGGCCATTTATACAGAAATATAATTTAGTTGCTATCTGTATCTTATATAAAGAAACAGACTGAGATGTGAAACAGTAAGAAGAACAAATCTTAAAGCTGAATGCAATCGAGACTTACAGAGGATGTCGGACCTCCATTTTCATCTTCTGCTTTGGTGTGCGATCTCCATGACGGATGATTGCAATAACACAGCGCAGCTCCATCCTGAGGACGAGAAGGGGATGGAAGAAGATGACAATGCAGCAGTAACTCAGGTATTTCACTGTTCATCTCCACTAAGGCCCGTTCGGACCTGGTATTAACATCCATCTTGAGAGATCTGATCCCAAGTTGCCAGCGTTAAGTTTGTCTGTGTGTATTAAAATGTGTCCTGAATGTGTCTCCTGTGACTACTTGTGATCGGTTAAAATTTTCCTGATCTATATGCAAATAATCACGTACGTCATCTGTGTTTGCACTGACCAAATTATGTTGGAGGAGTCCGGAGGGGCTGAATGAATAATTGTGCACAGCTTTGGAAAAATATTTTACCAATTTCCAGTCATTCTGTGGTGGTGGCTACAAACAAATCAACCTACGGACACTGAGAAGCACAAAAATATGTTTTAACTGTAGATGGTTAGAGACGTCAGCTGAGTAGGTGGTCCTTCATATGTGTCCCAGAAGGTATTTGTGTTCACATGGGGAAAATAATGTGGCCACATGTGTCCCAGACCACCTCTGAATGTGGTTTAAGTGATCGGAGCTCAGGGCACACTCGGGTGCTTTTGGATCTTAGCACTGATCACTTGTGCTTGGATCACTCAGGACGGGTTTTGATACCAGGTCTGAATGAGATCTAAGACCTTTTACAGCCTTGAAAAACACATTGGTCATCGTCGAGAGTGTCACTGACGCCAGGGACAGAGATGAGATTTCAGTGAGTGTCTGAGTGTGTGTGGAGGTCAGTGTGTCAGTGAACCCTGATTACCCTCCACTAATGTGTGAGGGCTCATATCCCCCCACTTTATTCATCAAAGGAAAAGTGTAGGTATAAAATATGACACCTGCCAGACCACATGATTGTTGAAAATAGTAAATACATCAGGAGAAAATTCTATAGTTTAGAACTCAACCTTTTATTTTGGTTGCAAAATGTAAAAAGCATTGAAGACTTCATCCAGCTCTTTTAAATCCACATATTAAAAAAAGACAGTACAGCATGAGGTCTTATCACCTCATATCACGTGTCACAGGCAAAGTAGCAATATCCCTTGCATTAACATGAACATTTTCCCCGTCAGTACGTACATGGTTCCTGAGGTGGTTGGGACGATGGGGATGTCTTCAGCCTCCATGGGAATAGACCAGGGGATGTGGAACTGGGGGGCCAACTCCCTCATTACCATGTTCCTGGTGAAACAGAGGAAAGAAATAACAACGATGACTTGAAATCATATTGAATCAGGTAAATAGCTAAATAAAACAAAAGAACAAATAAATACAAAGCTAAAGCAAACGTATTATTCATTCAGAACATGCCTCCACCAGTCACTTTCATTATAACATATTTATTCAATGTCTAAATGTGTGTCTCAGATTTCACCTGAGGGATGTTATATGCAACCAACAAAAAACAGGCACATTGAGATCATTTTAAAAAATCTACTGCAGTGCAGATGATAAAAAACACAATATATGAAATTAAACGCTAATAGTCTGATAAGAAACTAATGAAGACTTGCTGCTTGGACTTGAGCATTGGACCTTGAGGAATTATGTTCATGCTATTATCATTACTGGAGGAAAAACCTTCCTCTGTCTTTATATCTGTAAAATTTACAACATGACCACTTCAAGGCAACACCTGCCACACAGCCACAGCAAGACAATGCTTCAAAGACAGTCAAGCAACATCAGAAATGAAAAGAAGAGCCTGCTTCTTCATTACATGATCTCAAATGATACATATCGTTCTTGCAATACATTGTTATAGTAAATGCAATTAAAAAGTTCTACTTCAAGAGCCCTGTGCTCTGATGATGTAGTAGGAAAGTTAAACAGTTTTCAGACATGAACTCCAGAGGATGCCTGCACAATTGGGTGTGGACTTTCTCTGGAGATTGCCTTTCACACACAAACAACGCAGCAGGAGATTCTCCGCTTAGCGTTCACAACAAAACAGAAATCTCTGCAGCCCTCAGGTGGCGCAGCAGGCAGAGGCAAGAGATCACATGTTTTTGTTTACAGCAAATCTACAACAATGTCGGCTCTTATCACTAAAAGCTCGAAATGTATGGCACAACTTTTTTATACTGAGATTTAAAAAAAAACACCTGTCGCACGTAACTAATGTCATCACCACGGCCGTTCGCTCGTGGTGAATCCTTCAGAGGACTTCCTGCTGTTTTTTCAAATCAGCTCATTTGGATATTCTCCACAGATAACACTAGAAACCTGGCCAGAGAAAGTCTAGAGCTTCTTACTAAGACATTTGCATTTTCATGTGCAGCCTCTCGAGAGAAGGTCCAGAGATCCTTCGAAGTTCAGCACATGTCTGAAAGCAGCTTTAGAGATCAGTGTGTAGTAGTGTGTCTGCGAGCCAATTTCACTTACCCAAGGACTTTGGCACAATCGTCGTAGTACTTCATGGAATTTTTGACGAAGCTGAAACCGTTAACATCACAGACGAAGGAGTGGCCATTGGCTCTGAGCAGATCAAATCCACAAACTGTTTGCTAAAGAACAAAAAAAATGAGTTTAAATACATTTAAAAAAATCCTCAGATGTTGTTACCCACAGTATGTTGCTGAAGACACTTACAGATACAACACCAGCTTGTTTTAATCAGACATACGTAACAGCATGTTTATAAAATAAGAACATAAAACATGAACGTAGGAACACACTATAACAGTGAGCTCCAGGGATAAGCTTTTTCACAAGGTGAACATTTTGACATAAGCAATGAGAAAAAACATACAGGTAGTACTTTGTTTGTTTGTGTATTTGGTTCTCTATTCTTTAAAGAACACATAATCATGTGTTTGCAGAGGCATTGTTGCACTTTGTTTATGAAAGTAATTATTATCATGTTCTCACAGCAACCTAATACGACCACAGCACAAATCGTTTACTCAGTCACAGGTTTAAATTTATCAGGGATTTAATTCAACACAAAATAATTTTTATGAGGAAAGTTTACTTTTGCGATCATAAACTTTAAAACATGGCTACTTGCCTTTGCAAAAACTGTCTTAAAAAAAGTCTTAAAGTTCCGAAATGTGTTTACAATACAAAGAACATAATTATTGAATTGATTATAATTCTCTCTGCAACTTAACACGAGACAAATAGTCCCTAAAGGTCTTTTTATCACCACTAATGGTGCTGTGAGGTAACAAAGGTCAAAAGGATGACCACTAACTCATAAATAATGTAGTTTCAAAAACAAAGGGCTGACAATGTTAAACCTGGATCTTTTATCTTTGATCACTGTGTTGAACTTCGCTATGTGATGATGCAGGTTTACCTTGAAAGCCAGGCAGACCTTGCGAGCCACCAGTTTCTCCATGGCAGTAAGCATGACGGGGTAGCGGATCTCCTTCCCTTCACTGTCCCTCTCTACCTTTCCGTCCAGAGCAGGAGACTTTCGTGCCTCGGCATGGGCGTAGTCTGGACCCACTGTGTAAACCTGTGATTTCCAGGACCAACACATAATAAGAAAACACACAGAAGACACACAAACACAGGCAACGTCTAAGAGCAGATGATAACGATTTCTATTTCTGCACTGAACTCTGATTATTCTCCTGAAATGATCCAGAGGGGCTGTATGTGAAGACGCAAATGTCAGTTGCTGTGGACAATCTCTTTCCTGCCAGACCGTAGTAAAAAGTCATGAAAATGTCAGAGTGAGCCCATCCCAGAATACAGCAGAGGAGCTATACATATAGAAATTGTGGCCGAATATGCATTTCCTAGAATTTCACCATCATGTCACTTTATCGGAGCTTCCAAAACCTTAGGTCTTGTACCGAGGGGCTTGCTCAATATCCCAAAAATGAATTACAAAAGGTTTGGGGAAGCAGCTTTCTGTTGCTATGCACCAAACTCCCACCACACATCAGACAAGCTACTTCTGTTAATAGTTTTATGAAACAACTCAAGACCTATTTCTATGATCTTGCTTCCAATTAATTTTAGCTTATTCTTTATACCACCGCATTTATTACATTTTGTTTCTTCCGTTTTTTTATGTTGATCCTAAGTCTTTGTTTTATTGCTAACATGTTCTTGTTTATCTATCTTATTTCATGTCTTTGATTTTGTGGTAAAGCACTTTGAGCTGCAGTTTATTTATGAAAAGTGCTATATAAATACAATTTATTATAATGATTATTTTATTATGTCCTGCCTCTTGCATGCTCTACTCAGGCACTGCTCTTCATCTGAACACTCCGGAGATTTTTCTTTTGTTGTGAACGTGTCTGACCCAGACAACCTTCTGCATTCTTCTTATGTGAAAGGCAAAGTTCAGAGAAAGTCAGTTCTAGTAATAAAACACCTCCACCAATGGCCAAGTGAACTTTTACTATACCTTCACATCTGTGCCATCTGTGGGCATGAACTCCTCATAGATGTAGGATCCAGTCTTTCGTACGCTGCTCTCTGGTGAGTATACACTACTCCGACTCCCAATCTACAGCAAAGAGAGAGTTTTAGTACATTCTCTTTTTCTCATCAAATAATGGATGAGCCTCAAACATAAAAACAGTGAGACATCAAATGAACATCATCTTCATTAACATAAAGGGATGGTAAATATGTATGTTTATTTTAAACTGAACATTTTGTTGCCAGTTTGCTTGGTAACAGTTACCTTTCTGAAGAGTCTCTGGCTGCCACCTCCAGCAGATGTTGGGTAATAGATGTAGACGTTGTGGTCTTCAGCACACACAGGTTTCTCCACAAAGGGTTTCGGGAACACCTCCCCATTCACTTCTACATGGTCCTCCCCCTCCACAAGGTTACACTCTGCATACGGATAGATAGAAATTAAAAATGTTAATTTTAATGAAAGTTTCTTCTTCTTCTTTTTCATGTGAACGTTCAATCAAATCAAATCTCGCGTTTCTGTCCAACAGGCAACAGGTCAAAATGGCAGCAAAAACAAATAAATAAATAACATTGTAATAATTAAATTGCCATTATCAACTGTCTCAGTTCTGTTTCTATATTTAGATAAAAATGGTGATGAACTCAGCAACATCCAATTTAGCTTACATAGGTAATACTTTGTTAAATTAACTTGGGTTTCTGGCTCTTGGACTTACTAATACTAATTCATACTAAAAATGATCCATATATTACTTGATTATTGAAGCTGTGATTGCCAATATATATATATATATATATATGCAATAAAACTGTGGGGTTCATATTGAATTAATTTAGGATATTACATAAAAAAATAACTCTTGCACACCCTCAGGATTGTCGGGATCTCGGTTTAACACAGCGTAGCGAGGTAAGTCAATGCCCTCTTCTTTTAGGATCCGGTAAACTTCTCTCCTGGCAGGGAATCAAACAACTGTTATTGATAGTCATATGTGGATAAACACAGTGAAACTATATGTGCAGCTTTTAAAGGGATAGTTCACTGAAAAATAAAAATCTACTCATTATCTACAACACTGTTTACCCATGAGACTCCTGAATTTTTTTTTTAGACTCAAACACTTCAACCGCCCCTCCATTGACATAGTGGTGATTAGATGAGTGAATTTTCATTTTTCAGTGAACTATCTCTTTCAGTTTGGGCGTTGATATGATTGAGTGGTAAAGCAGGAATAAGTTACACACTTTAATTAGTGAGCTGAAGATTATTTAACACTTTGGTGGATAATAAAGTTCTGTTCTATTCTGATCAGACACAACATATTAACCATTAACATGATTTAATATTGTGGCTGACTTGTGTATAAATCTGTGTGAAAATAGCAATTAGGTCATTGTCACTGTCATTCTCAGATTGTAATCGAGCTTTAGCAGGATCAGGAGTTTAACCTTAAAATTAAAATTCCCACTAAAACTTACTGTCACACCAGAGTAATGGTTTCCTCTCTGTTAGTCATGGTTATGAGCCTGGCGGGGACTATCTGTGTGTGTGTGTGTGTGTGCAAAACATACCTGTCCTGTATGAAATACTGCATATTGAGGTCATTGATGAGCAGTGGATTCCTGAGCTTGGCGTACTCCACAGCTTTGTCAAGTGGAAATCCTGAAAAATGCATTAAAATGAATAAAAACTGTAACAGCTCTTCTACCTTACCAGCCAGCCCTGTATGTTGAACAATCCAAGCTCAACCAACAACTAAAATTGAGTGTGCTGATGATTGTATATACCACCAGTGTCTACAGCAGAAATACTTACTGTAGAGGTTTGGTGGCTGTTATGAGCAGCAACAACAGAAATTATATGTTAAAGTTCCTTTAATGCCTAAAAAAACCATATTCCACATGAACAAGTTCCTCTGCAAGTAAGTGCAACAAAAATCCAAGTCTGTTGGAAACAGTTTAGGAATATTAATTTTCCTTCTTTCCAACAACACATGACTCATACCAACACTCAAACCTTGTTCTATAAACAAACAAAATGGAAAAAGTAGTCCCATGTGATATCTGACTCAAATACACATAAACAGTTAGGGTACTAGAGTGAGTAGGAATATATAGTTGAATAGAGTATGAATGTCCAGTATGTAAATTTATAAAGATGCTTTTCAGTGGTTTCATCCTTCAGTGGTGTGTTCAACTTCGGAAGTGATCGCACACGCAAAAAGGCTAGCTGTCCTTCACCCCTCCTCTAAAATATAGAAACACACAAAAAGGCTAGGAGGCTAGCTTTCAACATCACATGTCATATTATTAATCTGCTCCGCAAAGATTCTGCAGATCTTGCAACTATTTTACTGTCTGCTTTCTTTATCTCCGCAGCATCAAGGCTCTTTCACAAGTTTTCTTTCTGAATGAGGCTTCAGCCTCTTAGCCATTAGCTTTCTCACTGTAAAACTTGTCCGCCGAACATTGCAAACTTTATCCAGGAGCATTTGTCCTTGCTACTCATCCAGCCTGAGATTGGCCTATTTCACTACAAGTTCACACAAACTAGACAATCAGACTCTTTCAAGAAAGAAATAGTTTCTCTTGAAAAGCCCAACATTATCTATTTCAGTTTTGTTGAGAGTTGGAACATAACTGATATACATGTATGGTGTTCACCCAGACCATGATCCACATAAGATTACAGCCGAAAGTGAGGAACCTCGAGAAAGTGTTAGACTACTATCTTATGTTCTTTCTTTTATTGCAGATAAAAGAGCAGGTGTCCCTCACCCCTCCTATAAAATATGGAAAGGCTTTTGAAGTTCTTGCATATTTTTCAAGCAATCACAGAACATTTAACTTATTAAACAGATTCATACAAATTCAGTAAAAATCAGATTCCCATCTTAGTCCAACAATTAAGTGGTTACTGCAACAGGGAAACATCATTTCACTTTTGTTTCCACCATCATAAAAATGCATTTCAACACAGAGGTTTGGTAATACAAAGCGAAGAGTGTCGATTTATAATTAGCTTCTGTTTCATTATAGGTGGATTTTTCATCTATTTTTCTATAAGATGCATTTGCACAGTAGTACAGAGTACAAATGAAATGCTTAAACCAATTAAAACACAGGTGTAGCCCAAAAACATCTACAACCTCCAACACCTCTAAGATGAGGTAAAATACCAGGATGAATTTCCCTTCGACCTGTCACTATTTTTCAATCACACAGCAAAATATTCCTGATGATCTTACCTTTGGAGTGGAAGGAGATTAGGCAGTCGCAGAGGGGCCATTTCTCCACAGGTTCCTCCAGGATCACCTCCTCAGGAAAGATGACCACATCAATGTAGTCAAACTTACAAAGGCGCTCTAGGATCTGAGTCATGGGTTTAGATTTGGACTTCTTCATCATGGCACAAATGCCGACCACAATCTGTCGCTCCGATGGCTGGTGGAGAGGACGCAGGGAGGGTGGAGACATGACATAAGGGACCCAAAAGAGAGTCAACACAGTAGAATAGCACAGATGTCCATAAATGCATCTTTTTTGTCACATCAAACAGGGCATATCTTGATTAGTGTCCTGCTCAGGATAATTTTCTTGAAATATCTGAAAATGGCTTCTATAGGAAAAAAAACAAAAGTTCTTGATTTAGGCATCACAGCCTTACCCTTTGAGTGTGTGTATATTAAGAAAGGTTCATAATTATATTATTATTGAATTAGTTAAGTACTATCAGCAGTAGTAGTAGCAGTAGTAGAAGTTTGAAAGTGTGTTATTCAAAAGTCATATAGATGCAAGTTATTTGGGGGAGAATCTTCTTTTTTTTAGACCTTAAAGCCAAAAAAAGATTTATAAATGTTAATGACAGCATTATTGATTGCTAATTCATATCAGATCAATGACTCAGTTCCTAGTTTTTAAAACATGTAAATGTGACACTTTATTCCAAACAATAAAAAAGTAATTAATCTTCAGGAGAAAAACTTGATCACAATAATCTCATTCATTGAATTAAAGTTGTCTTTGTCTCTGCTGCTGTGGCAGGGTTGCAGTGACCACTTCACGAACTGAACAATCACCTCTCCATTCAGTGTTACTGAGCCTCTAGATCTGAATCAGCTATTGTAAATGACAAAAATGTTCCAAGAAAGGTACAGAGATGACAGAGTGGAGACCATGGCTTGAAAGCGAGCAGCTGATGCACCGCATGACCAAGTCCTTTTATAGCTGCAGGAGCACACATGATACCAGAGACCTTACAGTTGTTTATATACTGTACACAAACCAATGCCAAATAAAACATAACATTTTCCAGGTCTGTTTACTTCCAACTGCTTAAAAGTGACCAATGCTGTATGGTTCCCCTGGCGATTCATGGTTAAATCCTATTGTTACTATAACAATATTATATGTTAAACTAAAAATATAATCTAGTAGAGCAAAAACCATAAACTAGTTTGCAACTTCTTTGAGACTTTTCAGCATTTAAACTGCAAATGAGGAAAAAAAACGTCATTTTAATAGTTATAATATAATATACTAATATCAGAACAAAGATAAATCTTAATACTGTAAACAACACCAGGTACAAGGTGTACACCTCATAATACACCCATAAGCTAGGAAACCTTTGACACACATGCTACACACATGAATAAACACCTGTAACTTACCGACTCATCTTCATCATCCTCCATTTCTTCCTCTTGAAACATCTCGTTCCTCATGCCTGTCTCCATTTGACCAATGTACTGCTCATCATCTTCACCGCCAACCACGAAAACCACGTCTCTGTCACCCCGCCCACGTCCTTCCCAAGCTCCTGGTGCTGGTCTGTCGCAGGGCTCAGACATCACAAACCCACATCTAACATGGCTGCTCCAGGCGGCACCTCCCGGCACAGGGTCAGATAGTGATTATGTGCTGCGAAGCAGTAAGAAACCCAGTCAACTGTTTCGCTATCGCTGGATGACTGACACCTGAGAACACTGGTGATAAGGGTCAGTTGGACTTTCTGACGCTGGTTGATAACAGCTATGTGCATGTACAGTACATGCTGAGGTAGAGAAGCAGCAGTGGATATGCTGAGAGGTAGAAGAGAGAGGGTGGATGACACATTTGTTGAGGTAGATGGTCAAGATCCTGTTTGTCAGGACGGAGGCGGTAACGCTATGAGGTATGACATGTCCCAGTCTGGAAATGCTTCTTCACTCAGCAAACTCCTTCTGCTTGCCCTGTGAAGAAATGGTACAAAAATACATGGAGGTTCAGCATCTTGATCTGAACTCCCTAAGAGTGCTAAGATGCATTTAAAGGGATGGTTTACTGAAAAATTTAAATTCACTCATTATCCACTCGCCACAATGGCAATTGAGGGTTGGGTGGAGTGTTTGAGTCCACAGAACCCTTATGGAGTCTCAGGTGTAACAGTGTTGCAGCCAAATCCAATATAATTGTGGTAAACGGGACTCCCTCTTTAGACGTAAAAAAACAAGCAGTATGGAGGCATGTTATGTTGTTTTCTGTTGTTTTATAACATCTGAGGAAGAGGCCACTTTTGCTAAAACACTGTTTACCCCTGAGACAAAAGCCTTTTTACGGACTCAAACACTTCACCCACCCCTCCATCAGCATAGTGGTGTTTTACTTTTTTTGGTGAACTATCCCTTTAAGTTTGAATGATTCCAAGTGAAACAACAGTTGACAGTTTCACCAAAATGAAACAGTTACAGCTGTGTGAGCTCACTGCTACAAATATCTGAATAACCACAGTGCTGGTGCAGTGGTGCCTCATTCACCATTGGTAAAATAAATGTCAGGGCTGTGACATGAGCGACACAACAGAGGTAAAGCTTTTTAGATTCTTGAAGGAACACGGGTATAAACTTTTATTTATATCTCTGATGCAAAGGTGAAGGATTGCAGGTTTATATGTCACTTGTAAAGACAGGACTGGACAGTACTTGGGTTGTTTCAAATGAATATCAATTCTCATCACCACCAACCAAACTGCTTTATTACCGTATAATCATCTTCTCCTCCTCTAGTTCGTTAGCCTGCTGCTGACTCAGCACATTTAATTATTAGAAGAGTCCACACTGCTGGGTGTTGCCATGGTAATGGGACCAGAAGAGGAGCTAGCCTGTCTTATCTATTGTGTCCTGGATGTTTGTTGGAGAGGTTCACATTACTCTGGTTTGCATTTCCACTTATGAAACATCCTTGATTGACACAGTCTTAACGTTATTTTTTTTACAACATAATCATTACATCATAGTAGGCTGCCCTCTGGGTTTAGTCTACAGTCACTTTATTGATTCATTTTATCTGCAAACATTTTTATAATCTTTGTGTCCTTGTACAAATAATTTGTGTTGTACTCAGTTAACGCACACCATAAAAGATTTATTGCTATGTGATAGATCTGCTGCATTACTGTGTGAGCAGGTAAATATTATCCCTAACTAATGTACCATTGAAATAAAGCTACTGCTCGTAAAAATTGTGAGTCAAGAAAATGAAAACTTGAAGTGCACTGAAAGAGCAGACTACAAGTACAGTTCTATAAGTACAAATAAAATCAAATATTTAATGAAAAAGAACTAGAGTGGCACAGAGCGTATACCTCCACCAAGGTCCAACAGGCCACTTAAATTCAATCACGCTGCATGAAATTGTACACACTCATAGATATCCCTTCACTTTTCATCAGGATCAATTAATTATTCTTAGATACATGAAGGAAAATGTTAAAAATTGTCCCATGTCACAATGTTAAGGAAAGTGAAAGAAAATCCTAGATCCATTCCCTGATTCAGATCTGCACCAATATTTAAGGAGTTCTTCTGACTCTTACTGCATCCTTCCACCAATTTAAGTGGGATTCCGATCATTTAATTTGTTTCTTGCTACTTAATGTAACTTCTGCCACTCCCCAAGAAAGCTAAAAAAATACAAACACTCTGTTCCTTGAATTAATTTCCTGAGCAGAGAAAAGATTACAAAACAGAACCCTGTAAATAATCACATGCCAAAACAATAGATGTTGCTGCAGATTTTAAATCTTGAGAGCATTGCTGTCTTGCCAAAAATCCAAGGTGCAATAATTAAATGGTAAACTGAAGCATGCTCAGATTTCACAATGCATTTTCAACCCCGGTGCTTTAATATAATGGGTGAGTGAGGTTGCTGCTTATCTGATATCTGATACCACAAAATAAAGAAACAAAGCTGTTATGTCATTCCCTTGTAACAGCCAAAGTGATGTGTGAAATGTGGCCCGCCAACATAAGCAGCAACTTGCTACTGTAAACTAGTATGTCCTCAAACAAGGTAGACACAGCCAGAGACAGTTCATGTGTCACTCATCAGCATAGTCTAACACCCCCTCCAAAAACCACTTCCTCCACCACAGACACACAACAGCTGACTCAAGGGGAAAGGCTTCAGAAACAGATGGGCAGATCATATCACATCTCAATGACGGTCCACAAGGCAACCGTCCCCTTTTCACGACCGCAAGAACGTAGTCAAAGTCACTTCCACTCACACACAGCGCATATTATTTTATTGGCACCATTAAACTTTGTGGCAGCTAAAGAGCAGACCCGGCCATCTTGCGACTCTCTGCCAGGACATACCCTCAACCAAAGCTCACGCACGACCCAGATTAACCTTGGTACCCAGAAATAACTGTGCCCTCTGCTACGTTAGGGGCTGGGGCGGAGCCAGGCCACGAGTGTTGGATGACAAATACAACTTATCATTACTAACCACTGAGGCGATGACAGGCTGCACTCCCCGGGGGTTGAAGAACACTTAAAGAGATAAACTCATGAAAAAAAAACTGTTACTGCTGCGGGACTAAGTTTATTCAGTTTTAACTACGCAGACAGGACCTTTACTCTGTAGACAGGATAACTGCACAACAAGTAAACAGCGTCATGATTGGCTGGAGAGGGAACATACTCAGCCTTTTAATTGCACATGGCTCAACTTTGCATTTCATACATTTTTCCTGGTATTTAATCAAATGGAAAAATTCTACATGTCATGTGCATTTATTTAAGACACAGCCTGACCAAAACATAGCCATGACATAAATATTTTATTTTTACATATAGTCATATATGATTAACTGTTGTATCTTAACAATGAAGGCTCAGTCACATTCACAGCCTCAGAGTAGTCTTGTAATTGGATATTTCATATTAACATCTTAGCTCTATACAGCATCTTGTGGTAAACAGCATTAAACACTAGTGTACTGAGAAAATGTATTGGAGATGAGCTGCAGATGCATATTGGTGTAAATGTGAATATTTGTCCGTAACATGAAGATGTACAGAAACACTACAGATCTGTTTGTGGTTATTGAGAAGCTGTCAAGCACTGACAAGTTTATTTTTCAACTGCTCAGAATATATCTTCTCAGATCTATTTAAAAATCCTACACTGACCTGTAATAGAGAATGGTGCTGTATTCATTCCCACTCCTCACCCCTAATGTCTGCGGGTCTGACCTCCTGTGAGAAGTGTGTAACTTCTAGTCGCAGCTTGAGTTTCCACAATCAGGCCAAGCAAGATAAAAAGTAATATCCGGCTGTAGATCAGGTTAAGACTTAGACTTTTACGATATGAAGAATTCAGTTTAAGTTCAGTGGGTGGGACGGTGCAGTCAGGGCGCTGGTCAACACATCAAAACTTTGTTTTTTTCTCTAGATAAAGATGTAATTGTCCAGTATAGGAGCCCAATAAAATGTATAACCACATGTGTCTGCAGTAAATGTTACATGATGTGGCTTTAAGAGATCCTTATCAGAAATGTCGGTAATGATATGCATTTATGAAAAACATGAGAATCTGCTAAATGTTGAAATCTAAAGTATATCAATATAAGTATTGGACTCATAAATATATAGTTCAAGCGTTTCAAATTAAAACTTCCATATTCCCATTATGGTTGTTTACAAAGTTTTATGGCAGAGTAATATAACGAAGATATGACTTTCACATTTCTGTCCACTATAGGTCAACATGAGCTGTGCCCAGGGCTGAGTAGTGATGTTGCATTTAGTGTATGTCACCAAATGTTGACTAATGTCATAAATTACTAAATGTCCCTTTCACTGAGGACAAAAGAAAGGGGAGAAACAAAAGAACCAGACATTAAATAATTGTGCGAGGCTAAATCTGTAGTGTTACCCTCCAGAACGAAACCCTCTGTCCAGCATGAATGGTTTAAGAATCTTCATCTGCAGGACCTTGTCCACGATGAGTCACATCCGTCATCACAGCAGGGGGCAGAGATCAACAACACAACACTAATAAAAAGCTTTTAACCTTTGAGACTGTCTGCCACAGGAGGCCTGCCTCACTTTTATGAAGGGGGGGGGTCAGTAATTAGATCCTTTTCACCAACACCATTTACCTGATTAAATGGTAGATGAGACCCTAGACAACACGCAGAGGGAACAGGGCCAGTGTTTCTGCCGGTTATGGATTCACACTTTGTGGGTGTACTGAATGAGAAAAATAATGAGTGATATTACGATGTGCCTGTGATAGAAATTCAACCAAGAAGTTTTGATTATTTTGGTTCCTATCTGTTTTGGAATAATAAGTTTTAGATTAAATCATTATCAAATTTATTATGAGCAATAAAACTTAATGCTACAGTGAGCAAAGTTATCGAGACTGGACACAAACAGCAGCCATGAGATAAATTATCACTTGCGAGGGTCAGATAACATGCTGGTGATGTCATCAGGGTAGAACTACCAGTGGGACAACAGTTACATCTGGTTCTACAAGCCTATAAATTCATAATGGACTGAGCACTCAAGAAATGAGCTTTGTTTGCAAATACAGGATACAAAACTTTAATCTGCTGCCTCTAATATCTTGAATCAAGCACACAGCTTTCAGGGTTACAATCAATTCTAACTTTAAAGGGATACTTCACCCAAAAATGATAATTAATTCATTATCTACTCACCACTATGCCAATGGGGGGGTGGGTGAAATTTTTGAGTCCACAAAACACTTTAAGTTTCAGGGGTAAACAGCATGGCAACCAAATCCAAATTATAATTGAAGTAACTGGGGACCACTTCTTCAAACACAAAAAACCCCCAAAATGCCTCCATACTGCTCATGTGATGTCATCCAAGTGTCCGTAAGTCCCAACATTCAAATTTGACGGGAAACAGCATCATTTACACCATTTGAGCCTTTTCGAGTCGAACGCTTCACTAACCCCTCCATCAGCACGGTGAGCAGAAAATGAATGAATTTTCATTTTCACTATCCCTTTAATGGTTCCCTTCAGAAAGGCTAATCTGCAGCAGCAGATAAAACACAATCACAGCAGTAACAAAACAGAGGATACACAGGATTAAGTGGAATATAAACAAGGATACAACTTTGTTGAGTAAATATATGAATATAGTGCAAAGGTGATAATTTCAGCACCTGAATGTTGTAATTACCCTCCAACAAGGCCCAACAGCCGCTTATAAAAATCACATTTAATTTCGCTAGTTAAAGATTTTTACTTGGATCTCATACTTTCATAAATATCAGTTCCCTCAACAAGAAAATGTAATTATTCATCAACCACTGATTGTTTTGTCTTTTCTTCTGCAAAATGTCTTCTTAGAATCTCTTGTTTTTAGTATTTCATTCTGCTTATATAATACTTACATATTAAAACAACAGACACTGAGCATTTTGTCAGATCATCTCTGGTTAGGCTAACTTCATTAATTTGCACATTACTTTACAGATGAAAGTTATCAGAGCTGAAACAATTCACAATTGGATTTATAAGTTCATTGACACAAACTTAAAATCTGATCACTGAGAAGTTGTAAATTGTTTCTATTCAGGCTTCTTCACGATGAGAATTCCCTGCATTTCTTTGTCTTACGTGACATTAAACTTAACATTTTCTAGATTGGGGACTTTTGAACTTTGGATGAGACAAAAATAGGTAATGTGAAGACTTCACTTTGAGATTATGGAAAATGTGCAGGGCATTTTCACTTTCATTTCACCATTTGTGCCATTACGAGATAATGAGATCGATGGATAAGAAGACAACAAGGGCAGCAATTTAAGATTGTTTTCATTTTCGATTTATACGCTGGTTATTTTTCAATTGATCCGGTAGTGTAATCTGTCAACTTCTTGTGTTTGACCTTAAGTCCAAATAGAAAAACTAACATTTTCCATTTATATATAACAATCCAGTGATTTTAGAGGCTGGAATGAGATACATCATAGATAAACTGTGATTAATTGACCCACTGTTTCAGCTCTGATGATTGTAAGTTTGAGATATACAAAGTGGACAGCTCTTGAGTAAGGGACATAGACTGTATGGTAAGGGGGCACACATAGTCCAACTCACAGCAGCTACACACACACACAACCAAACACACACACACAACCACACAGTAAAGTTTAAAATCAGAAAGTTAGGTTCAGAGCTTTGACAAAAACCCTCTGATTCCACCTCCTGTTCTCTTGGTGACTAATAGCAACAGAACCAGCAGCACCCACAGCCTCAAATCACTGACACACGATGAATGAGTCACACGGAGGTCTGGAAGTAACACGCGGCTCCATTGAGAGAGAGAAAGAAAGAAACGCACGCGCGCAGGTGAGGTAGAAGACACTGAAAAGCCTCCACAGACTCCACAGACTCAGATCCACGCGGTGACGAGACAACAAGTCCACAAATGAAGGAGACTTACCGGCGGAACACAAAGTGAAGTCCCTCAGCTGTTCACTTCCTGAGCTGGACTCTGCTCTGTGGAGAAGCTGCTGCTCGTTGCTTCGCTGCGTTTTCTTCTTCCTGTGGTTGTGTGTAGCAGTGAAGTTGTAAGACAGCAGCTAAAGGTCATGTCCAGTCTGTAGTACTAGTACTAGCATTAGTACTACCGCTACCACCACCACCGCTGCTGCTGCTGCTGCTTCCTTCCTTCTCCTTTCTCTTCTACTCTTTTGTTTTTTTTTCAAACACTTTTTTTTACAGCCACGCCGTTACTGCCATCTAGCGGTCAAGATGCTGCATTGCAAGATGGACAGATTGTAACGCTGCAGGTTGATGTGTTACAGGAGGCTCACTTACTTTTGTGCCCTTCCATTGACACTATGTACAAACATACAGACACTCAGGTTTGAACTTCTGTCTTAGTGAGGACACGCATTGACATACTACATTCCCTAGCCCCTTACCCTAACCACCCAAACTAAATGTCTAACCTAAACTGAATTCTAACCCTAACCCTTAAACAGCGCATTGAAAATGTGAGGACCGGTCAAAATGTCTTCACTTTCCAAAAATGTCCTCACTCTGTAGTGTGTATGCCTAAAATGGACCTCACAAAGACATCAGTACAGGAATACACACACACACACAC